AAATATTTACACAATTAGATATAAAAGTACTAATTTTTGTAGAAACGCAATTTTATACATTTGCATATATAAAATTGTACGTTTATACAAATTTACTATTAATTGTGTAATTTTTATGCAATATTATTTATGTGACTTTACATACTTTTTTTACAGTATAGTCTCTATTGGATTAAATGTGTATTGAACGTAATCCAATCAGGCGACTTGGCCTTTTGGACAGTTCGATCAAAATTAATTTTCTACACAATTATTAAGTTATTTACTATTATCATTAAACCGATTTTTATTACTCAATTAATAATAAATATGTGACAGTTTATTAAAATATAATTTTATCTGTCTTTATGATAAAAAGGAGGTTAAGTGTAATACATGGCATTAAAGGATAATATAAACGAACTTTCAAAAATCTTTTGTTCACGTATTTATTATTGTTTGGCCTCGCAGAAGTTTTAACTTAATACGTAATCTCAACGTTTTTCATTCTATATTTTCTATTCATTGTTCCTCTCTTTAGTATGCTTTTAACGTGTCGTGTAAGGTGATGAATTATCGCACTTCTTTTTAATGGTACATTTTAAGCAGCTAGACAGAATTGCATGTGAAAAAGTGCGGAATGCGAACGAAAGATAATTATAGGTAGTCAGTCACAATGTACTATTGTGGCACGCTCTGGAACGTGACGTTATTCTCTTGCCATAATTCTAGATTCATGATATAGCCTTCCATTTAAAAACTATCGAATTCACATTTTTTCAAAAATGGGTCGTGTCAAACAATGATAGCGTAGACTTTTGCATAACTCATAGTGCATAAAGCATATAAGAAAACCAATTAGAGAGCATTTATTTTCATGGAAAGGAAGGAAATGAAGGACTTTGATTGGTACATTTTCTATACACTATATATATTATACGTTACGCAAGACCCTCTGTTTTCCGCCCTTATTCTTCTTAATCTTTAAAGAGAAGAAATGCTTAAGTGTTTAACAACACATGTCGATATTGGAATACTAATAAGTTTATCACATATAGTAATATATGAAATATGATTAAATTTTCTAAAGCTGACAAAATAAGCAAACAGAATTTCTAAACTGCGCCATAAAAATTTGAATTAATAATTTTTATTTTTGAAATACCGTTACGAAAGAGTCGAATCACATCGATTTGGCGACGTATAATAATTTTCTGATGAAAGATCGCGATACTAGGATTAAGGATTAACACTCACACATGCATATCATATTCTCGTGTCATATGAAATCAAGTCTCTTTCTCTCTTAATATCGAAAGCGAAGCGAGAGGTGCCGTACCGCGAGGCGAAGGGGAGATCCACTTCCTGGTTGCTATAACGTTCGCTTTCTTTGTTTCGTTTTGAGAGCGAAATCTCTGCGAGGCGGGAAAAAGACCAGCTCGCGCGCGTTCGAGCGCGCTCATCGCGTGAAAGTACGAGCGTCTAGTTTATCTGACCGACAATGTTGCAGTATTACGGCTGCGCCAAGCGCCAGAGCCCGATGCTTACCGCGAACGTGACCTTTTTCTGGTATTTAGAATAGCCAAGGCATTTGCAGAAGACACTCCGCCGCGCTCTCTTGCCGCACGAATCAATCTTCCATGGCATTCTTTCCCAGAATGGCATTAATGACGACGATGACAGAAGGAGCGACATGCCGTCGCGCTCCGTCTTCACGAAATTCTCTCTCCGCTTGACTTCTCTCACGTTTTCCCCTCGATTTCGCCTTTGGCACTTTGCCACATCCATCGAACAAAATCATTCACGCGATGGATACCTAATGATTTCAAATGCGGCGAATTAATTTAATATGCATGATTCTACTGTTTGCTATTAATTTCCAATGTTTGCCTGACGCCTTATGGAATCGATATTCGTGATGAATGGGAAATCCGCGTACGTAACAGAGTCATGCTACAACACAAATAACGTAAGAGAGTGTTCTGTTTGAGATAATTGAGTGGCAATTATATTCGTTTCGGCCTGTACAGGCTATTATTATCAAGATTCGCGGTCGGTTGCATAAGCGCGCGTAACGTTACCGGTAGTTTGTCATGGCTGGCGCAATATACCCAATATATTGTCGTTTATACAATTGAGCCGCAGAAAAACCTATGTTCCTTCGTTACTTGTTTTCCTCTCTCTTCCCAAGATATCTCAATAAGGCATGGTATAGTGTAATGAAGGAATTCTCAGAAATAAGAAAATTATCACTTTAAATTATATATTTAAATGTGGCACAGATATTTATAAGTAAATATCTTTATATTTTATGAAATTACCTAATAAATAAAGTTTGTAGAATATCTTCGTTATATAAATGTATTTCCAAAATATTGACTATGCTAATCCGGAAATTCCGATTTATTTTATTCCGGATTTCCGCAAAAATTCGCACCTTGTTCTGGTACAATTTGATATATAGAAAGCAGAAACAAAACTATTGTACTCCGCAGAGATAGAGAAAAGTCTCGTATCGAACGGAGACACCGTAAGAAGTTCGTGTATTTCGACTACAAAGCGGATAGTATCGCTATACAGTCACTGTATAACTCCTAAAGGCTATAGAACATAGGAATGTGTTCCACTTGATGCTCGTAATGCTTGTGAAATCATTTCATCCATGTTGTTTATCAAATGTCAAACAAGAACGAATAATGCTTGTGCGAGAGTTATGAGCACTAAACGGAACGCATCCTAGGTTGCACGACATAATCATTGAAATAAAAAAAAATTACGCTAGAAACATGCGCGAAACATCGCTCGATTTCGAATGCTGTGCTATCGATCGACAAATTGATAACAACGCGAAGCTATGCCAATGGACAAATTGTTGTCGTTCGTGGGATTCCAATGGTATCTCGCGCAATTCGCCGATAAACCAGCGTGCTCGCGTGCCGCGGCCGAGACATGCATTCATGTAAGTCTTCGATAGCTTTTGTGCAACGTTGGCTACGTCGATCGCTAATGATCGCCGAGGCTAATTAGGTTGAGCTCCCAGAGTGTTTTAATTCCGATCGGCTTTAGTTAGCTCCATTTTTGGTGACGTTACTGTCGTTTGTTTAGCCATTTGGGACTAATGGACAGCAGACACGATCCGTGAGTGAGTTACGAACGAATGCCACGAGTTTTTTCTTTCTTTTCTTTGCGACTCCGATGAGAAAATAACATGTAGGTACTTATGATAAATTGTTGCGAAGAGCTTTACATTAAACCAATCACGCCGATCTTCCATAAATGTGCATTTATTAATGAAAATAATACATTTTCAGTGTGAGAATCTTTTCTTGTGCATGGCGTAAGTGTTTCTAAAACAACACATTACTTTGAGATGTGATATACTCGATGTGTATCACATCTCAATTAAGAAATTTCTAATTTTTATAAACACATTTACGAAGTAATGGATGAATTTGCATTTTTTAGTTTCTCGAACATATGTTGAATATTGTGCAAAATTATTACTAAGCGATTTCGCAAATGGGTACAATTATTTTCAATCGGCTTTGCCAGTGACGGAGGTCACCCATAATTATTTCTTGTTGATAATAACTATAGAATTACAGTTGTTGCGACCGTTATGTTATAACGTTTCGTTGAATGTTTTAACGCGACTAACAATAAGTTAACGTAAAGTCCAATGTCTGTGAATTCAAAATTTTATTGGATATTGTTTAGATTTGATTTTCTCTATGTATAATTTTTCTATAAACAATCATTTGTTCAATTAATTTTATACAAAATTTTGTACTACTTTGTAATCGAACATTAAACGATGTAAAACATTATTTGCAAATAGAGGATACTTAAAAAAATAGTTTTAGCTATAATTACACAGTCTTGATTTTATTGGGCAGATGAAATCGAGTATCAATATGTTATTATATAAAAATTAAAATGTGAAGTGTTCGATATAATGAAATCGCATAAACTTTTATTATGCGCGTATCGTACTACTTGTTGAAGATCGAGGCTGTTGCACCAGAGGTCGTACATCAAAATCGTCCCGTCACGTACGATGACAAGCAAAATGAAACTCAAGGAGTCGCCTTTCACGAAGTGTTTACGGTAGTGGAACAAGACGTCGTCTTACTTTGACACGTTGTTTACGGGGCAAGCAATCTGATTCTGTTATACAGCTACGCTTCGTAGCAGTTTGAATGGAACTTAACCGATTGTCGCTATATTTTAAAATGCATTTCCAATCAGTATAACGCACAATACACTTTACTGTCTTTATAATTCGATATAAATATATCGAAAATATAACTAAATTTTTTTTATAATGCAAAATGAAATAAAATACGCATTTACATCAAATATGCAATAATAGTATTATAAAATTTGTTCAATTATGTAATGTTTATTTAATAACTAATTATAGATTACGTCTATGATGGCTGAAATAATAATTAACTCTCTTGATTCCTATATTATTTTATAGTAATATATTCTGTATTCTATTCTATAATAATTACAGAAAATTAGGTTATTAAAAAATTATTTTTAGAAAGATTTGACTTTTATTTTGCATATTTGCATTGCATATTTTACTTGTCTGCGTTATCACGACGTCGAATTACGTAACTAAAACAAATGCGAGTGGCGCTCAAAATACGCGATGTCGGTGTACAATCTAGACACGAACAACACCAGCTGTTGTGATGTTAAACGTACCCCATAATATTTCATGCAGTTACGCGTATTTAACGTTTTGACATGTCACTGTGAAACGCGGTACAATTCGGTTATAATTAGCTATTGAGGCAAATTTCACAGACATCGCGGGATTCACAAAGGCGACATAATTTCGCGCGAGAGGCTGCGTTTTACGAGACAATAATGGCGAAGGTTGCATCGCGTAAAATGGTGCCATCGACTGTTTGCCGGTGTTGTAAACACGATTGCCACTTTTCCGGTAATCTACCGAAGATTTAATTTTGCTAATCGCTCAAATTTTGATAACTTTTTTTTTTAAGTACCTGCATCGATTTTCCTCCGGTTGTTTTGAAAACAAATCTTCGGCGAGAAGGCTATCAATCTCCAGTGGAACACTAATTGAAAGGTGGTAATTATATAATTGTAAATTAGATCCATTAGGTTTGTTTGGGTTGCTTGCACTTTTTGCACTCTTCGCTTCCTCTGTCTTCGTCGCACTAATACATGTATTTATCTCATTCTAAGTGCAAAAATTTTTGGGAATTTCAAGCAACACGAATAGACTTCTTGATGGACTTGCTGGACTATATGCGAAACGAATGAGAAGAGAGAAAGAATCGGAGAAAGACCTTCAAACAGAAGCAGCTTGTGGGCCAGCTTTCATTCTGTTACATTTAGATTCCGTTGTGCACCGAATGGCATTGTTTCACTTTGGGACTTCCCTATTGCCAGAAACAGACGGCCACTGTCTCGCCTGATGCCGCAGCGTCACTTTATTGCGACGTTACGTTTCCACCATTAGTCACTGCAATCTCCCCACCAGCAAAATTGGACTATTACCAATTCGCGCGTGTGTGTGCCTCACATTGGTTTAAAAGGAAGCAACGAAAGACATGCGCGCGCGTGATTCTTTCTAACATAAATTCGCATGTAGTAATTTATTACTCCTGTTATTTCTTGATTGAAGGACGTAATAACGATAATACACGCGAATGAGAAGACACACTTTGATCAACGCGTATTTCTGTAAAATAATACATTATTATCAGAATCGTTTTATCAAGACATGTTATTATTAAATAGAGATAGATATTTAACTTTCTTCTTCTCATTATCGTCTTCAAATCAAAAATATATGCGAGCGAACTGTGAATGCCTTTGGCAGTCCTGAAGATGGATATTGGAAAGACTTTCAGCGAAAATTACTATGATTAATGTTGCTTTGACTTGAAGAAACTGAAATGATATTACGTAACTTTCAGGAAGAATATTAGACATTGCCTGGTGGAAAAAAAAACACAAGAAGTATTGCATTCAAATGTTGAATTTAAATGTAAATTTTATTTCGAAAAAGATTCTAGTAAATAACTATCAGTCCGCTTTACAAATAGATAATTTTCTGTATAAATTATACAGACACAAGAATACAAATTTCTCCCTTTCTCTCTCTCTCTCTCTCTCTCTCTCTCTCTCTCTCTCTCTCCTTTTATAGTTGGAAAATATGCTTTATACATTATACGTGCATTGTTTCTTAACAGCGATAAATCTTGCGACATTTATTTTACGCCACGTTTGTTTTGTGTCACGTCGAAACTTATTGCCCACGACTAGCTGTCGTTTTTTTTTCTTTCTGGGTACCGATTGCCAAGCTCGCTTGGACGGAAGTCTGATAATCGCATGTGCGTCAACAACATTCATGCTTGTGTGCGCCGCTGTTACGCAAGCTGAAGTTTTCAACCGTAAAGACTGGACCTCCGGATAACTACGAGGCTTCGGGCTAAATCGATAATCAAATATACATACTTGCGGCCGTTCTTACATCGCTGATTGGATAAATAGTGACGCACGGCGAGTATTTTCATTACAAGTTCTCTCATTGATGCTTTCTCGCTAAGATGTTTAAGAATTTTTTTTTTAAATCTTAGTCATCAAATTATACGTCTCTCTTGCGAAAATTATTAATAATTTAAATTACGAATAATAATGCAGCAACAATGAATTTTAACTGACGACTAGCGATATTTGCGTTTCTTTCAAGAAATTTATAACCGCGATTGTGAGTACCAAGTAATCTTTAAATATATATTGTTAATAAAAGTCTACAGCAGAGAGACGTTTTCTGCATAAAATATTGTGCAATGAAAATTTTGAACTTCCGGGATCTTTGTTACGTGATATAATAATGATTATACCATGTATACATCAGCATTTGTCATATCTCGGCGAGATTTTCATAGGACGAATGTATATAAATGATTCAATATTTGATCGTGAATGGCGAATCTTCCGATACAATTATATGACATGTTCCGATTCTCGTGGATTCTTTAGTGCTTATTCATAGTTGGCACTCTTTTCGGTAGCTTTAAAGATCGAAACCCCTAACGCAGATGTGACACTAGTGACGTAGAGATTAATGTGAGTCGGAGTATTCCGACACGCGACGATGTTCGCCCACTGCGCTCACGATTGGCTCGTGGAACAGATGGAGGACGCGCGACGATAATTTTAGACATTAGCAGCATTTCCGTGTGTGTCAGTGGGTCACCTTATCTCGCGGGAATGCGTTTTCTCGCGGTGTACACGCGGAACGCGACCCTCTGAAACAGAGGAGGCGTCGATCGCGAAGAAATACTAGAGCGTGTGCACGTACATCCGATGAGTGAAAAACAATCGAATATCTGCAGATCCTTTTACGGCAATTTCAACGTCTGCCACGAAATTCCGTCCGACGTGATAACAAAACAGAATCAAATATCTTCTCTCATTTTCGAGATTTACGCCAGTTGTCGTTTATAAAGTTTAAGATATTTAATTCCTATAAGGCAACACTTCCTGAGAGAAATTTCGTTGAAATTTCAGTTTTACTTAATTCTATTCGTAACGTTACAGCTGGATATTTTATATATATATATATATATATGTATAAATATTTTGTTCAACAGAATGAGAGTTTCTAATTTCTAAAGAAATTTCTTGAAAGGAGAAATAGAAAAGCAGAAAAGCTTAGTATAGTTTTAGTCTCTAATAGAGGAAGAGTGATAATATATATATAGAACTTAAAAGATCAGATATATCGACTGAGATTGACTTAATCTACCGATCATAGTCCAACTTTATGATTTCACACCATCGTTAATCACACAATAAGCTACAGTATAATGAATAAAGTTCTATCTCACACGCGATACCACTTGTTATCTCAGAAAATTATCGTCGAGCTAAAAGGCTTACTGCTGATTAATTGCTTCTTCCACTGGACCCGAAGACGTATTTCACACTCTAGGTAACGTCCTATTTAAAAAAAATATGAATCTCAGATCATGAGAGGCATTTAAAATCCTCCACTCGAAATTATTTCAATGATTGAAACAATTTGAATAATAAAAAGTGCATCTTTGTCTGTACATATCAATCGAGCAAGCGGATATTATTTCACTGTGCAGACTTGATCATGAAATTAATTTGCGTGTAATGAGCTCTGCTGCAAAAAGAATTGCAGCTTGTTTTATAGTTTGTTTGCCAGATGTCAGTCGTTAGCCAGGCGCTTCGTGAATGTAAATTTATCCGGTTGGGTAATATACTCGTACATGCAGCCACTCTCGCATAAACGTAGAACGCCACTTGATCCTTCGAATACGGATACCGCTCCTTCTCTCTCGCCGTTTCCTGTCCTTGGCCGTATCTCATTCTCCGCGCGAGAGTTCGATCATGGGCTTCCCTTTCCTCCGAAAGGTCGCCGATCAACCTCGGTCAGATCCATCCACTCCGTCTCGTAAAAGGGATGCTAAATCGATGAGGTGGTACAAGGCTGCCCTCTTACAAACTGGATTCTCTCTCTCTCTCTCTCTCTCTCTCTCTCTCCTCTCCCTCCCTCCTTTTTCTCTTTCACTCCTTTCTCTTCGATTCATCCGACGTCATTAATACGAGAGAGAGGACTCGTTAATTAGTTGTCGAGTAATTTTCCTCAACTCGGTTTTAAGAACTCCGAGACGAGCCGTAAAATCTATAAACTTATTCTGTAAACTATTTTAATCTATTCTTGGATCAAGAGGCGTTCCTCTATTCGTTAAACATCTACTTTTTCTCTGACTTTTTTTCGTATAGTTCGATGTTTTGCGCTTCTTATTAATTTTTTCTCAAACTTAGCTATGATGATTTTTTTTAAATAATTTTTCTAATTATATGAAAATAAATTAATTTCTTTTTTATATCATAATTAATCCTGAATTTCGTATTATAAAATAATATAAATTTCTATAATTAACTAACGTAAAATAATTTCAATAATTTAACTTTACTATGTTGCACATTGTGTTGTTTTTTAATTTCTAAATCTTTCTATTTCCAAAATACGCTTAAGCGATAGTTTCTTGAATGTGATCTTTTTGCTAATATATTTTTTCACCCGACATTGATTATGTTGAAACTGTTTTGTAATTAAACGTTTAAAAAAGGTTAATTGAATCAATCTAAAATAGTACAAGATGCAACTGCTTATAAAAGTATTCTTAAAGATACGGTAACGAATTATGATTGGACTTACGGAACTTACTTAAATAATAAGCAAAGGCGCTGAAATAATTATACTTTGCAATATAACATAATATCGTTGCATGTACTCGAGTCGGAATGGCCTGATTAATATGCATGACGGTTATTTTTGGAAAAACGTAATCGCTGGAAAGAATAAAAGATTTAAAGAAACATGTTGATCTCGTTGTAAACTTTTGACCTTTGGATCACAGAATGCGAATCAATTGGTTCTTTGCGATATCCCTCAACAATGTTTAGAAAAAGATACTTACAATATAAAGACAATAAATTTCAAATATTTTAAATCTTTGCATTTTTTGTGAATTCCTCCTATACTATAACTGTTTTTATTTATAAAAATCTCTCGCGTATAATCACTTTCAGAATATTTAAAATATTTCACATTATAAAGAAAGAGTTTAGAAAATACGACAAATAGTTTCTGTCAAAAATGTTCAAGAAATTATTAATTCCAACTTTTTATATTTTTGCGATTAGAAGTATGAGCGAAGCTCATAGTTCACGCATTATTTATAGAAGTTAAAGAAATTACACGATAAATATCGAGTAACTTAGTAATAATCTTATCATTTCATTCCAACGATATTTGAATAGTTTCGTTAAGACATGAATTATATTTTTAAATACGTACAATTAGAGAAAAATAAAAGTATTGTGTGTGTATAACTACATAATAATTTTAAAGATAATGCAATTGCTGTAATTGTACGCGACACTTAATCGTCTACAATTCCAGATGTCTGAATCCACAAATAGCTTGCATCACGACAACTGAAAGAAATCATGCTCATGAATAACAACAATATCTCCAATATTTTCAAATTAATGAAGGCTCTTAATGTTCGTTTATTACATTGTTGCTATATTTGACCTGATATACTGAGGTATATATATTTTCGATAAAGAGCAAACAGCCCAAAGGTTGTTAATGGTATCGTAATGTTATTTGTTAACATATAACAACAACAACGATAAACGCGTGAGTTATCCTTTCTGATTACTTCGTAAAATCTATGTTATGACAAATTCAACTTTAATTGCATACAAAATTTGTATTTTATAAAATTCCATATTATTAATATCAATGATTTGGATTGCTGAAATATGGAAAAATTAGGAAAAATTCGATGTTCCATGCTGTTCGATTTTCGCTTCTTGTTATACTTTGAACGA